ATTGTATTTGTATTTGTTAAAAACAAATTTAGTTAAAAATAACTGTTATCATACATCTTAATGGATTAAATCACAATACATAAAAACTACAGGACGTCGTTAAAATTTATATTTAAAAGTTATATCAAAGTGTGAAATACGAGTAGGGTACATGAAACCATCCTATGTATAGTGTTTGCCTCGTTTGTTTAGTTACATGTAGTTCAGAGGTTTAGATTATGTGCATGTAATGAATAGTGTTGGTGGTGTATAGTTAGACTAATGATGCTAAAGTAGTTGAATAATAATTAGTACAATATTCAGTTACAAAGTACAGCAACATTACTCATGTAATCATTCATAATTAATATTTGGAACTATATTACGTTCTAAAAATTGCTAGACGAAAATATGTTGATTAAACTAACTATCCTCTATGGTCTACTTAAGTACATCAATGTCTATACATTGATTTTTGTCAATATTTAGTATTTCTTCCATCTACAGATTCGCATCAAAATGTTTTATTAGTGTTTTCATCACTGTATCAGTTATAATTGCAATTTCTACAATCCTGTGACCAGTGTTGGGAAAAGATAACTATAAAGTTATCTAGATAAGATAACGGATAATTGAGTAATATATCATCTAAAAAAGATATTAAATTATTCATTTAACATTTATTTAGCTAAAAGATATAGATAAATACAATTTTATCTAGATGAAAAATAGATAAATTAAATTTTAACCTTCATAAAATGTTATACGAAAATGTATGAGTGAAACAAAGTATTTTCACAGATTACAGAATAATTTAATAACCAATAAGACGTAGGTACTAAGAAATGGACAGTTACGTCAAAGAGCAAATTTTCCTTATATTAGATTTCGTGATTTATGGCTACTCTGTTCATTTGTCATTTATTATTTTCATGTACTCTGTTTATGTCATATTTTATGTAGGCAACAGTAATAGTATAAATAGGTATAAAAAGTAAATACGAGTTTATCAAACTCGATAATCGATGACGGGACATTTCAATATCGGTTGAAACTATTTATAAACATATTGTTCTTTTTTGAGGCTTAACTATCGTTTTGGCCACATACGGTCTACGGACTACGGAGAGCCCACATTATGTTTAAAATGTTTATTACAAGGTTTTGTTATTTTATTTTGATTGAAAATACAAATAACTTTTTGGAAACGGCTCATTGTTTATTGGACTTGTATTACTATTAACTATTTTACTTTTATAGTCTTTACTCTTTACCCTATATGTAGTTACTGATACAGGACTCGCCTGACATGTATATATATTTGTAAAATATAATTTATAACCATTCTGCTCAAATAAACACCTGCACTTTCGACCATTTTTTTTGTTGGGATTTTGGTCAATGTTAATCTTGAAATTATTATCGTAAAAATTCTTATAAACACGTTTTATATAGCACTAGTAATTATTTCGAGAGTACTGGGAAAAAAATTATCAACATTAAATAAAAACTGAGCACTGTAGTCGAGAACTACGAATATAAATAATAAATTATACGATAATACATATATAACTCTTATCTACTTCTACCTATTAAAAATAGGTAAAAGACGTTTTGTATAATCGACTAAAATACATTGGATTACAATGGAATATTGGACTTGTCTAACAAGCCAACCCCAATGTATTAATAATATATTCTTATATCACTAATCACTATTCATTAGGACCTAGGTATATTAATATTTTTAGGCTAGGACTACATTATGCGTTTCGTCGGATCCCGAAACCTGTTTTTGTAAAACCCACGAATAAATAACTTAAAAAATAGTTACAATTTCTATCTAGATTAATTACCTCAGATAACCGATTTGTTTATCTAAATAAGATAATAAGATGATTTACTTTTTTTTATCTAGATAAGATGTTAATTACAATTTTTTTATCTAGATAATTCCCAACACTGCCTGTGACTACAGTGACACGAAATAGAAATTGGCAAGGTTTAGTGTATATCATAAGCTATCGTGTAGACGTCGAATCTATTTAGTTGAAATGTTGATGTAGAACGCAACGGAGTAAAATGCTGGCATAAGTTGATGATTTTTGCTACGTTTTTCAGAAATGAGAAACCCTAAAAAACCAAAATTAATAATATCGACTCATTCGAATCCTTTTAAATGGTGATCAAAGTTTAGAAAATGCAAAAATACTCCTCTCTTCTATCTCGTACGTGAACATGTTATTTTCAGATGTCGTATGGTTGTAAAACTATAATCTTTTACATCTCAATAAGTAGTTATATCTGAAAATATAAATGAAATATTTACCCTCATTAGAAATTAATTAAATTACTATGTTTGTGAAGCAAAAGTTTGTTTTTTCTTTATAAAGTTTTAAGAGGTATGATCAGTATATTTTAAATGAATAAAACCGTTTGGTTCAGCGTACTCAATTTATTGTATAGGTTTAATAACTAACAAAACATACATAAAATTTAGTTTTACCTAGTTGCCATTGGATGGCTATATAATATATAGATAGCACGGCCCATTATTTTAGACTTTTCGACCATGTTTTTCATAATAATTATTAAATGCATAACATCTGTCTTAAAAATAATTTGTAAATATTATGTTATATAATACATTGACTCGAGTTTATAAAAAACTTTTTATTAAAATATTATACTAATAGGGAAATAAACATGATCCACCACTTACGATATACATTATTCATAATGCTTTTATTTTCTACTGAGACATTTGTAAATTTGGTACATTACATTCGTTGTTTTATAAAAAAAATGAGACTCATATTAAAATATTTATAAATATTAAGCACGTAATAAATTATCATAAATAAAAAATTTACATCTTTCCTTTAGTTGTAGATATTTTATTTTGACTCACACTTTTATAGAATTTCCTTAGTAAATATACCTATTCATAGTAAATTAAGGATAAAAAATAAAATGTCTAATCAAATTATAATTATTATTGTCAATAGGATTTTATGGTAGGCGCGTGGCTGAGTGAGATAAGGCGGCAAAGTATCAATGCACGGTCGCCGGTTCGAATCTCGGCCACTAGCGATTTTGTTTCTTCGGGCGGGCAACTGTTTGGGGGGAGAAATGGCCATACTCTCTATGGAGCCAACTTGTTTGGTAACCTTAGATTGGCTATAAAGTATAAACCCAAAAATTCCAAATCTAAACCGTCTAAGCCCCGATCGATGGGAAAAACAAAATTAAACCGCAACAGAAAAGAATTGTCAATATACTTAAAACTTTATTTTTTATATACAAATGAGTAATGACAAATATATTGTGAAAGTATCGTTTGTGTTATTAATTTAAGGACAATTGAACATTTTGTTTTCACTTTAAAATGATAATTAGTTGTTTAGAAAAATATGATTGAATGTTTTGAACACCCTAAGCCCTAAGGAAAGATTAGGTGTTTATGTCAGTGGTCGACTATTCAGAAAATGATTGTTCGGTTTTATCCCCTGCGTTTATATTAATGGTCCTCTGTGATAGACTGTAGGGTCTAAAATGAGGAACTGCCAAATCATTCGTACGTCGAGTGTGATAACTAGGGCGTTGAAATATATACAATAAAGTATGGTATGTATTTTTTTTAAAGGGAAACACCCTGTTTATATTTATATGAGGGGTCTAGCACAATATCACAAATCCCACAACAAAGACCAGTAATACACGTATACATTTTTTTAAAATATTTTGTAAATCATGACCAATGAAGCTATCAATATTTTATAACTGATATATTTATTACTTTTTTTCGTCATTTATATTTTACTAGGTAGTACATTTTTAAGAAGTATTGTAAATTTTAACTTCAATGCATCGACGGAAAAAATATAAATTTCGATAAAAATATTAGCATTGGGGAATCATAAAAGTTTATTAAATGTTTGAGTAATAACATTATCATAACTGATAAAACAGTCACAACTTACTTTTGACTGTCTGATTAGTGTAACAGGTTGGCAACTATCTCTAATCCCAACCCAATAAACCGAACACCCCATCTCATGCAGATGTATTATTTAGTTTAAATTGTCATAAAACCTCTTTTATAACCACTATTTTATTATGCTCTATTTAATGTTTCTATTTAAAAATGCTCCTGAAATTATTAGTTTTTAAAGTGAATGAGCCTGTTGTTTTGAAAAATCTTGCTATGACACTAATCACGAAATAATTTGTTTTATGAAATAAGCTATTCAGTGGCTTTTGGGTAAAAAGAGATAAATTAAAACGTTGTGTATTTTTCCATGTCTAAACTAGTATAATAATTTTCAACAGCCTTTATCCTTACTTTTCAATAATGATAAACTGCAGTTTATGCGTAAAAATCTGTGATAACTAGATGGCCTATTTGGAATGCACGTTGAACTTAGGAAAATGTCAGTTTTTTCTTACTGCTAACTTAACCGAAGAAAACCTAACTTTGACGTCTTCGAACCGTGGAGTAATCAAAGAAAGCGTTTCGATGGAGACACTTTAAGTTCAGTCCTGTTATTTTTTTTTTTCCCCGTGACGGCAGAAGTGTTTGTTTAGTGGTTATCGATAAATCTATAGAATGCAATGGATTCTCGTGTTCACAACCGAACATACATAGCCTATTACCTTGTATTTTAAAATGCAAAAACGTATAATATTATGTTTTTTAGTGAAATTTCCCTGGAGAAATAAAAACGATTTTTTGACATCTGACGGTCGTGTCGGGAAATCTATTTGTCGTCTATAAACCGTTGTTGTGCGGCTGACAAAAAAGTTAGACAAAGCGTGTTTACGAGCAGACACCACAATGAATATTTGATGGTTATCCGTTAGGCTCACTCTGGTCGGGGATAAGCGGGCAGCCGGCAGGCAAAGACCGTTTAGGATATTTCCGTGAGGGCCGACTCAAAGGCGGCTGCTACGGGCGACGGCTGCGACCGCGACGCCACCGGTACACCACCACGTGCGCCCAGTTCCCCGTGCGGTGTCGTGTCGTCATGTTGTTACATTACCTTGGTCGTGTTCGGATTCGGATGTGCGTTCGAATGTGATTTGGCTAACAAACGTGGTGTAGGTTTAGGATTAACAATGAGCACCGTATTAATCACACCATCGCCTTGTGCTGGCAAGCGATGAGCGAAGTTTTTGTCATAGATCGAGACTATAATTAAGGTAAAAAAAAAAAAACAAATTTTAAACAAAAAACCTACAATAATAACATATATACTTAGATTTAAGTTATTTATAATTTATGATATTGCCCTTAAGAGTTTTTTTCTCTCGTGGACAGCTACAACCTTTATTGACAGTAATAATAGCTAATTGCCCAACTTGTGGGTTACATCTAAGCACAGCTCTTGCTATCATGGCTTACATCAGATAGATCACCCTGTATAAAAACTGAAATATAAATGAGAAAAACTAACAAATAAATAAAGTTAAGGTACAAAATAAGATAAATAGAATAAAATTCACATTTTTTTTAATTTTTAGCAAAGAAATAGTTACAAATCTTCTAAGTTTCATTTTGTATAATGGCTGCTGATGACGACTTGATATTTTAATTTTACATACTCAAACATATCAAACACGTCACATAACAATGTAGTATCTTTATTACAATTACTATGACTTGTTGATTGAGGACTTAGGAGGAATTAAATGGTCTATGTTTTTTAGAGTTTTTTTTTAATTGCATTTTTATAGGCTTTAAGTTAAATATGAGAAATATTTTAACTGTTTATTCTATTTTAATTGCATTGTTATTATATTTACAATACAAATTTAACATACAAACAGAAACGATAACGCTATATATTGTATAATATTTGTTTTAATAATTGTTATAATATGATGATCTCCTAATTAAAAATTATTGTAGTTTTATCTACATATTAAACAAGTTCTAATATGACTTTAGTAACATTCATTTCGCGAACTTATAATGGAGAAACCATCATTGAGCATCTTGCGTACCTATCACAAAATAAGTAACTAAATGTGTTTTATGTTTATTAGTCAAATATTTAAGGGATATAGATTCGAGTAATTAAACACAGTATGATCTCATTCCCATAGTCTTAAGTATCGTAGTAACTAGTATTGTATTATTATTTAATAGCTTTTAGGACATGTGGTACTCATTCAGTAATTTCACGTGTGATCGTATGAACAGACAATATTATAATATGCCTGATGACATCATACTTGTATCGTTCAGTCCATATAATAAAATAACATTAGCGTACCACATGATGAAAGTATATACAACACATTTATAAAACATGAACATATTTTGCAGGAGAAAGAGCCATCAGATAACAGATGGGGTCTATTGCTATATTTTTACTGTACTGTTTGTCAAGTGCAACAGGTCACTTGAATGTATTCATTAGTCAAAAAGAAGTTAAAAGGATCATGGGTACGTAGAAAATCATACAAACTATGAGTGATAATAATTTTTTCTTTGTAAATCATATCGTGCACAATACACATTACGATTGAAATGTGCATATTATTCTTTACAGTATTTATCTACCATATTTTATTATGATTATACAATAAAAAAGATAATCTAAATAAGAGAGTTTTTTAATGATATTAGGTTGTACACCTAATATTATTATTATTGCATTGTACATCCAATTTACTATTTTAATAATGCTTATGTATTGACACCAAAATAATAATGGTTTTCTTCCTATATGGTATATATAGAAATAATTATTAATATATTGACTGATCGAAAACTAGTTTTGGATAATTACTTTTGAAGTTATTTAAGTTTAAAGTGTAGGATGAACAAAAAATAAAAAAAAGTAAAATAGTTAAGTGCGATAAATATATGGTGCTTATAGCGCAAATGAGTATAAACTAATTTTAAAAAAACATCTTTAAAATATTCACTTGAACAAAAGTTATTTAATTTGTCTTATCAATTTGTGGGACACCTAGTATAGCATATATTTTTATATGTATAAAAACACACTATAAATAACTAGGTATAGGCTAACTAAACTAACTTTTTATTTAAATTTCATAACAAACTTAGAAGTCACTACTTTTAAATACATTACCTAAAGTCACACCATAATTATTGTTTATCTATATTTCCGTCAAAATAAAAATAACAAATTTCTTAAGTTTTTAGTTTAACACATTCAACTTTTTCTAAATCAAACCATTGTTTTAAAATATCTACTTATCAGAAATATTTCTACGAAATGCATTAGCTACAATATTTTCTCATTCATTATTGTATTAAAGTAATTATTTATGCGAAATTTTCGTATTTCAAAATAAACAATTTCACTGTTATAATATATCGTAAGTGTTCCAGGAACAAGAAATCTGCAACGCTTTTTTTTTCAGATAAAAAAAAAATTACCAATTCAATTTAACTATTCTTATCGATGTATGTATAAGGTTCTTAAATTACATTATAGCTTCCATGATTAAAATATCTAACAAGACTTTAAGGTTGCACCATTACAGCTTCGTTCAAGCTGTTAATCAATTATTATTATTTGTCTTTTGAATTCATCAAAGGTTCTATAATTTGAGGGTGAATAATTAACTTCTCGTTACCACTCTTTAATTGTACCTAATGAAGTATGAAACTTCATTAAAACTTAGTTTTGAAAGATCAAAGTAATTATTGTTTCACTAATTTGAATTTATTTATCTGAATAACTTATATATTTTGTGTTTAGGCCCCAATGGCGGTATAAAAATAACTATATATGACATAGCGTGTTATACATATATAATAAATACAAAATTAACTGTATATGGTTTTGGAAAAAGGTAATAGCTAAACTTTATAGCTATATTGATCTACAACAAATGTGCAAACTGCTGTGTATTTCTATAGTCCCAAGTCAACTAACGATAAGCTTTTAATTTTTAAATGCAAACTGTCACTATTTTACCAAAGACCACAAATTTTTATTAAAGAAGCAATACAAATGTTTTATTGGAGTTCAAAGCTTTAAGGGCTACGCATTCTATTTTTCAAGATAAATATTAAAGTATTTAATGTCAATGACTGAAAATGACGTATGTGTAACCTTTTGATTTTTCAAAGGATAAAAATTAATGAGTTAATTTCTGAGAAGTAAATTCAATTTACTTGTCAGTGAAATACTTAATACTTTAACTTTTCTCCGCACAATTACTTCTTAATTATTTAATTTTCTTAATAGAAGTCTTATGTAAAAATTAAGTTACAATCGTATCTATCTGTTTATTTTAATTTTTTTTTTAAAGGACTACTTATATTTTTATTTCTATTATTAATTATTATTTTTTTTTTACGAAGATATTTGTTACAAGTAAAAATTTAACCTCTTCGCTTCTTATTTAACAGATAGGCAAAAACAATAACGAAAAGTGTTAAATATTTGTTTAAAATATAATATTTCTAATATAGGTATCTTACTACGTTCATGTTCCTTTCGAACATAGAACTATAGAATAGTAACAATTAAAATGTCACGTTGCAATATACACCTTTAACAGTTATAAAGTAATAGATTAATGAAACAAATAACAACTGAAACACACAAAAAAAAAAAGTAGGCAACAGTGTAAATAATGCGATAACTGGTCTATTACTTTTTATACAATGTAAACAAAATATTTAATAATAAATACATACAAATTCAATTCAATTTACTGTTTTTTTTAATTTTTTTGTATGATGGAGGAAACATAAGTCGATTAAAAAGTTATGTATACGAGTTTTTATTTATAAGTAATTACTTACGTCGAATGTCATTTGAAAAAAAAACTTTATTTACTATTCAATCATGCCCTTTCATGCAATCTTATACGTTTTTATTGAAAGAGTTTTCTTTAGATACAAATATTATTAAATATAATGTATAATATACGTATAAAAAGTAAAAATAAATATTATTACAGGAGGTTTAAAAGAGAGCGAGACTAACGTATTCAAGGGTATTTACAAAATGCTTCAGCTAGGGATGAAGTGAGCACGAACTTTTTGAGAGTAACAAAAGAATAACAGCGCATTAAACGTTAAAAAGCCCTCAGCTTTGAAGGAATTAATTTTCGTGTGCTGCCGCTTCCGCCTTTTCAATGTAGACTTGCTAACATTAAATATTAACTGTTTGAAACCTTCGTCTTTTGCTCTCACCCCTATTTATTTTTGTGGCGTTTTAACAATCTAGAACAATACGATATGACCATTCTTTATCCCTCAGCGTTTGCATTGTTATTTTTGCTCTTAAATATATTAATTTTCAACCGTAACTATCTAAAAAAAACAACAAAAAATTGTAAAAATAAAAATTTAAGAATAAATTAACATAATTATAAAGTACTTATGTATTTTAATAATATTTAATTCATAAGATATATCTATTGAAGCTATGTCGATTTTTAATTTCAGGAAATCCTTAAAAATATAATACAATTTGAATATTAAAATTAATTAAATATGTTTAAACCGTCAAGTGGTAAAAAAAAAATATTAAATTACATTTTTTAGACAGATAAATTTCAACCAACAAGTATATTAATTATTAGCTGCACTTATATTGATAACACTAATTTTAGAACGAGTGTTAATGTTTGTATTCTTAATTTAAATTAGGAATTAAAGAAATTGTTTTTCTTAAGACCTCTGATTTCATAAAGGTAGGTATTCCGGCAAGCGTGTTTTAAAAACTATTTAAAACATTTTATGGGCTTTGTTTAACTAAATTTTAACTAGTTAGGAGTAACTTTTTTTTTTAAGTTGATAATATTTGTCAATACGTTTTATGATCAGTGAATGGATTTTATACAAATGTTAACTTACTTAAAACAAATATTCCAAGTAATAAAAATTATATTATTACATAACTACTAAATGTAAAAAATGCTACTTTAATATCTTTCACAAAATCTATGAGAACAATAATTTAAATTGCGTAATAAGTAAAGTATTTTAGATGAACACTAAAATGTAAGTGGCTCAAGCTATTTTGACAACGCATACACCATATCTATGAAAATTGTCCTAAAAGAGTACAGACCCTGTAAAATGCGAATACCAATTCAATAAGTACCCGGTGCTTTTATAATTTAATGTTATATTATGTATTACATGGCTGAAATCATTTTTACTGCGATACTAATATCTAGCAAAAGTTGAATAGTGCGTTTATAGATAAAGTTTGGTCTATTGATCAAGTTCAGAACATTTTTTTAACGGTTGGTGGCTTTAAAAATGGACTTCATTGTCAACCACACTTGTCAAATTTACTATTGTTATCGTTTTTTAATTTGAAAACATTAGAAATGAGAAGATTTGGGTTGGATATTTGTTTCATATTTTAATAATAGTATACAATGTTCAGAATTTAAATATTGATTTTTTTTACATACTAATGTTGATTATTTTAATTTATATCCTATAGTAGTATACTGACATAGAATTGTGTTCAAAGTTCGTTATGTATTAATTATAATTAAGCTTAACACTGTACAATTGTATAGTGTTACTACAATTGTATATTATAATTGTTCAGTCTTGAACATGATATGTTGATATGCACAGCCCGTCTAAATACATAAATAAATAAAATTAATTTACTTTGTTATGATAAATATGTCATTGTTGAACTGCCTATTTTTTGTCGTATACTTATAAAACTACCGATAAAAAACAACTATAGACCGTTGTGAACTTTTCAAAAGTTTGCCATGTTATTTTCCCTTGGCTGTCGATCAACTCAAAGTTAAAAAATAATGGGGGTTGGGTTACCGTCATGCGGAAAATACGTCATATATAGAGGAAAAAAATACACAGCATATAATAAATATGCAGGGGAAAAAATATTATGTATGTATATTTGAATTACAGTTCAAACCTTTTTCCTGGAAATATTAATAAAAATCCTATGCTTTGTATATTATTTAAGTTTCAAGTGGCTTATTCATTTGTTGAACTTCATGTTTATGGTGCATATATATGTTTTTTTTGTTTGTGATTTCATATTTCTTTTCACTGTAATTTTTATTTCTACGCATTTCAATTTTGTAGAGTGTTAAATTATATAAATTATTAAGTTACAAATAATGTAGAAATAACGATATTTATTTCAATTTGATTTTGGTATAATAAAAATAACTATGTACATTCATATATTAAATCTATAGATTTATGAAATTAAAATATATTGAAAATAATGTACTTACTATTTTATGAAAACTTATTATTATTTTTTATTACTGTTATAAGGTCCGTCCACAAATCATCCACTTGAAATGGTCAAATACCATGCTTAATCGACGAAAGCCTGTGAAGTTGCCACATAGTGTCCTGTGGATAGGGGGGCGAAGAATAAAAAAAACAGCATGACGTCCTGTAGAAGTTAGGACAGTTTTAATGTGCTCTTCCAAAGGCGGTGGTCATCCCTTCTGAGTGAAATATCGTTGTTGCATTGTTGCTGTTGTCACTAGAGGGGTGCAATTTTTTACGATTATTGTCTAACTACTGGTACTCGTTTTTGTAATTTATATATCGATTCTCGGTAGTTACCCTACAAGAAAAAAAATGTTAAAAACAAGGGCGCCAGACGTCAGGCATGACGTGGCTTTTCTCATTTCGTTTATGATTTCTTCATTCGCTGCGTATACACGACGTTTGCCCTCATTCGTTTTTTACGGTCGTTTATCATCATATAAAAATAAATAAAGGCGGCACGGTGGGATATTTACTTGATTATCGCACCATTATTTCATATTTACTTCGAACACCCACGCATAAAGATGATAAGACTTAGGGGCAAGATAATATAATGCACGCACAATCAATTTTATTAAACTGGGTTTATTTAGCACAAAATCTATTTAACGATTATTTATGTCACAATTAAAACAAATATACTTAGGTGAAAAAATTATTAATTATTATAATAATTAATGTGTATATGGCATCAGCATTTTGATATAGGTTAAACTAAAAATAATAACACAATTCGGATAAATGATTAAAAAAAAACTTTACGAGCGTTACTTTTTTATATTAGAAATCTTAACGACCAAGTACTAATAGAGACCTGTTTTTGGTTAGTTTTATGTATTTACTTTATACGTATCATGTATAACATGAATTTATAAACAAATAAAATATAGAATAATTATCGTCAATATGGGTAAAATATTATTAATGATTATGAATTTTAAACAATTGTATTTTTAATATTTACTATTTAGTTGTATATATGATGTATAGAGAGTTATTTACAATGTTTGTTACAGTATTTTTTTAAATATTCCTTTTATCGTATTCTTTTATTCAGAATTGATTATCGACCAGTCATTTTTAATATTATATCATTCTGCATTTCTTAAGTGAATCAATAAAATATAGGTCGCTATTTAACTTTTAAAAGTTACCATTTTCAAAATAATATTTTAAGTATTGTTAACTATTTTTAAAGATTGCAGTATCTTAACACTTTCTAAAGCTTTATCAAAAATAAATAATTTATACGTGACCTAAAAATGTAGTAAAGTCTCAAGTATGTGTGGCTATTAATTATTTTGTTTTATATTTATTTAAAACAATTTTTTTGGTATTGGATTCATACATTTTACTGACATTATGAAAACAATAACTCAATATTTATATAATATATTTCATTTTTAATCTCCTATTATGGTTGTTCTCTCCATACTGATTGTTATTTCAAATGTGTATTGGCTATATTAAAACATTGGTCAGATAATGGGGGCCAGGGTTAAACAGCCTGCGGTGCAATTAGAAACAGGGGTTTGCAGAGACCATTAAAAGCACCACGATGTGTCATTGTGATAGAAAAAAACGTCCCATTGCCACCCTTAGCCGTATCCGCAAAATATCATTAATTTCGTAAACCACTGTAATTATGAATAGCCCTTAGGCATATAAATCTCGAAATTACCACAATACAATATATGCCTGGGACAAAGAGTTTGTTGGGTTTTTTCCGTTTATAATTTTTTTAACGCTTTTTTTGTAAACGAAAAGCTTTATTAAACATATCTTTTCTTTAATTTATTATAACCACTAACCAAAAAAAAAAATCAAATTTGATTTTGTATAAAGTATTTAAATATTTAAAAGCTTTAAACAAACTGACAGTGAACGAATTTTCGCTTTCAACACGTTATCGTTTATCATGATAAATTACGTTATTCAAACTGTTATTAACGTCTTAATATAATAGCCTAACTCCCTGTAGAGCTTGATTATATTATAATGTATACGATTATAACTTTTAACTAAATAGATTTTTAACTTTTACAGTGGTATTCATTTATAGACAATTATTATCGTCAAAAGTTTTGACTTTTAAAAGCATTTTCAATACAATAAGGTGTTCGAAATTGTTTTTAAAATCCGGTGTAATGTTACATTGTATTTAATTGGCTCTTAGTACGTAGTTCGTATCTTAAAATAACAATAAAAAATAAAACATCCATGTTAAAAAAATTATCACAAATCCAAAGAGAATATTTTTACTTCACTATTTACTATCTCAGTACACGTATTAATTAAAATACGACTGGACTGACTATGCAGATTTTTAAATCAGATTAAGTGACAAAGACTAATGACATACGCGCTCAATCGATTTAGCTTATGAGGGGGAAAAACTAAAAAGCCACCTGAGTTGTTAGTTAAACCCATTAATTTCAATTAAGTTAGGACTGAAGGCTTAATTAAGATAAACAATTATTGGGATTGCAATTTCAGCAAAGGGATCAATCTAAAATCTAAATAAAAACTTGACTGATACATTTATAATTTAATTTATGTGTATATTTTTACTATTGAAGTTATAAAAGTTAATTTTCTTAAATTTATAACCATACAATTTCACTTACTTAGTCTGAAAATTGATTTCATAAGCCCTTCTAAATTGATTAACAATCGAATTTTCTGAGTAAAATTTTAAAATGTATGATGTCTCCCTAAATATCTTATGGCAGTTGCAACTCTTGAGTAGATGTATGACGTTATAATATAAGGAGAAACTACTCTAAAAGTGAGAACAATTTAAAGAGAAATACTGTTAACACTTCGCTGTCAAAACCATTTGTAATAAAAATAATTTATATACTGTAAACGTTTTCCAAAACATTGACCAGACAACAAAGACTTCCTATACGGTGGTTAGAAGTGTAACTGACGTTTAAACGATAAAATATAGAGTTTTGAAAGAAGATTGTTTTCATAGTACTTTTTGGTTTTATATAAGAAAACATAGTATAAATATATGGAATCCCGGGCCCTTGGGCTTTAGATATTCTAGACTCCAAAATCTCTCCCTTGATCAGAGAATCTATTTGTTTTAATGAAATTTAATAATAGGAAACCTTGAATTTATTTATAACTTTTTCTCATGTTTGCCATTCTTAACTTAACCACTTCCCAGTTTTTCAGCGTATATTAATACAAATATTATTAATTCCAGTTGCATCAATTCTAGGTCTTTGTCCGACTAAATTTTCGAAAATATAAACAATTAATTCTATTTCTCATTACTAGCTGTCACTTTAGCTAATTCGCCTGAGTAGTATTTCAAACCGCGGGTTCCGCTAATTCAGTTATGATATTAGACATACGTTTTCAAACTTAAGAAACTAAAACCATTTTTAGGATTGAGTATTATCAAATTAATATGTTTTAATTGTTTGCATGTTTTAGCTAAATCATTTTAATATCCTAATATAAAAAGAAAAAAATACTGGAAGTGCAATATATGTATAGTTTTCCTTTTACACTGATGTTTTTAATATTGATTTATGTGAGTTACATCTATTTCTTTACAGGTCTATCAGCTGAATTATATTACGTTCGCGATGGAGTGGTTAATACATACGCAATGAATTTCGAAGTACCGGTGCCAGCTAACATCGGAGAACTCGAGTTTTGCTGGGAATCGCTTACTCGGCACTCAGTAAGTAATAATTATCCCAAATATTTTACATTTCATAATGCGCAGTATTGTATTATCTAAAAGAGCTTGAATTGACATTTTAACGCGGTAAAAAAGATGAAGTCGCGGGACACTGTTCGAAATATTATTATGTTACGGGCGACTATAAAGGACTAATTGGCCGTGTGACATAGAACTAACTTTTGAGAAACATCACAGGAGTGGAGTATAGGTATTATTTAGACTTGAAAATCACGTAGTGCGTTCAACAAGCGAGACCCCAAAACTTTTGCCTAAAAGGCAACCCCGTTTACGTGATCTTTACACTTTACAACCCTTTGAACGCGAACAGCTGTAACTGCAGGAAGTTCGTGAATTTGCATTGAAACGTATCTGAGCGATAGAAAACTTCATTTTTCCTATATAATACATACGAGTATGCTATAAATTATAATACTATAAGTCACTACACTGTCACTTGTACTGACACATTTATTGTCAAATTGTTGGTCGAAAATAATTATTGACTGTTCATAATGCTGATAAGAATAGCTAAATATCAGATATCTTGTTTTAATTTATTCATTCAAATTTTAGAATATGCAAGTATGATACTTATAAATTATGTGATCTCAGGGAAAATTGTTTTATGCATTAAGCTCAACCGTAGTTTACATACTTATTACATAAAAAAAATTACTGGATTTCACATATATACAACATACATTTTGTATGTAATATGTAGTTAAGGAATATAAAATGTTGTAATAAATCACTGAAATCTTAAGACGTTAATTTATTTTTATCTTTATGTGAAATTTATTTAGCCGTATTATAATTTAATGATGCGATAAAATACGTCATTATCATTTTTTTTCGACAATGATATCTAGTTTTATAAAAATTGTTTCGGATATGTCTTCTTCATTATTGTTTTTTTCTATAAGTTATTATGATGACTAGTTATATTTAGAACGATATTAAGTGGTTTCTACCCAGTCATCGTGTGTCAAGCTCCCCTAGAAAACGCATACTAACTAAATCGAGAGATCCTATAGTCATCGACGGGCGGATATAAAGATTTATTACATACACACGAGCACAGTAGTCCGGATGTCGAACGAAAATGGGGAGATGTGGACAAGAGAGAAGTTCGCATTACCGGGCACAAGGTTTAGTGGCGCCGACAAACAGACACCCCCCGTCCTCATCACAAGGCGATCGCCATTGATTTTATGCTTTAGAGGGGAAAGTAAGCCGTATTATAATATTTTCAAAATAATTATGTCTGTGCGCAAATGTGAAAGCGACGGAAATTGACGGAGATAATAACAGAATAAATCGAGGGAACTCATGTGTACGAACATTAGTTTAAACATAAAAGTATAAAAAAAAAGTATCAAGATATGAATATTATATGCGTTTATTATCTGTTTATATGCGATAGAGTTTTACAAAAAAGTTATAATTCACAATATTTTAAACAATATAATATAAACTATATTTTATATTTATTTTTTTTTTTTTATAAAAGATGGTAAGTTATAAAAATTATATAGAAATTATTTTTTATATTAATTTGCAGTAGTTGCTCGTATTTACATAGCAGGAAAAAAACATTTAATTTGCATTAGATTCGCAGAATTTTGATTTATCGAGGTTGCAAACAAAAAAATTACTTTAAGTCTTGAATTTTTAAGAAGTAAAAAAATAATCAATTAAAATGAACAATGAATTATAATAATGAAATGTCTTCGACAAAAGTTTTCCTTTTTATTAATAACAATAAGCTAACTAGTTTTTTTATACTATTCAGTTTGTATTGTTTATTTAAGTGCTTATAATAAAATAATAATTAATAGTTATCATAATTTATTTAAATTGGTCACTTATAAACTATTGTGAATTTGTTTTCGAGTATTTGGGCGTGACGCTTGATATTAACTATATAGTAGTTGGCCATTGAAAACTTAAAATGAAAAACTTTTGTATTTTATTTGTGGTTTTGGCATTGAGTTAAAATATTTTGCCAAATTTTATATTTTTTAAAAGTTTGTATTGACAGGAAGTTTTTACGTTTAAAATATAATAGAACTATTATTCGTTTATACTTAACGTTTTTTTCTTTGGATATTTATTTAGGTTTGAAAAATATAAATATATTTGTAAAAGCAGTGGTGTTTGTACTTATTGTTAGTGATTTATTCTTTATACAGTGGTTTTTTTACTCATTTCTTAGTCATATTTCGGTTAGGATGCATTTAAATAAAGTAATAAGTAGTAAGAACAATGCATATAATAATAGTGTTTGACACTTCTTATTAAAACTGTATTTGTATTATACTTACTGAATATGGGTACAAAATAAATTGTATTTAGTTTACGTGTTGTATAAATTCATCAGTTTCAACCCGAATGCTTTTTCTCAATACATTGTTGGCTAAAGTTCCTCTTAGCACTTTTGGAATTTCCTGTTTGGGTAAACTATCGCTTGGTATTTTATTGAACTATAGCAGCCAATTTACACCCCATTCCTTTCGACGTATACAACTTCAAAATTGAAAAATATCGCAGCCGCATTCCGTACGTCTGACGGCCCAGTCAGTAGAAGAGACGTAGGAATTTCCAGAATACCTTCTAACCATTTATGTGGACAAAAATGCTGGTCGTTTATCCCCAATAAAAAACAAAAGCTAAACGGCGGCGATCACGACAAGCGCATTTTCAGTAATGTCAATTTATAGGAGCTTGTGAGTTTTTAGAAGATCTGACGCGACTACTGTTATACCACCACGCCCATTTCTGATGAAACCCAACACTATATGGTCTGGTCTGCCGTTAGCAGATTTTAATTAATTTTCTTTTAACCGTATCCGAGATCCCTTTGATGGTAAGGTCGGTGTTGTGTTGTTACGTTTATATAAAAGCGGATTACATTCCCTGAAAGCGGTAGAAACACCCATGCCAGACCGTCGCCTTTCATTCGCACACCGATATTAATTTGCCCGGACCGTTTTAACGCCACCATCATTCTCGTGAAATAAAGAATAGAAAAAAGAGAGAAAAAAAAATCTTGCCTAGAGTTTTAAAAAGAAAGACTCATAAAGAGGGAATAACTGTTTTTGTTTGTACTTATAGCCAGAGATGAACAGATAGTAAGGGGGAAATAATTCGATTGTATTGTGACGGTCTGTCGGACCAGATAAATAGAAAGAGGATTAATGTTAGTAATAAACGTTTTCAAATACAATTATTTGTTATTCTAAATGTAAAAAACGAGAATGTTGTTATTGAGGGTCGCCAACAAAGGTTATATTTTATTTCAATTAAAATACAGAAGTGAACCATCGATAAATATTTTTTTCGTTATACAAATCTATCAAAATACATGTTTATTTTAGGAAATTAAGCAACGATAAGTATAGATAAATACACATAAATAATGGTATTTAAATGCTAAATATATTGTAGAAATAAATGTAGACCAAATTTGTATAGGATACCCAAATATTTGTGAAATAATATGTTTAAAATAGAGAAACATATTGAACTATTTACATTTTATACAGAAATTAAAAAGAACCCAAACATAACTTTTTAAAAAAAAAAATTCCTTAAATTTTGTGTGTTTAGGATAAACATATGTAAGCATAATTAAAACCAATAATATATATTAATCGTTATACAATAAAACCATAAAAACTGATATTTATGTATAAACAATATGATAGGCTTATACGTTAATGAATCTTTAATATTTTATTTAGTAACGAAGTTACAGCTGTTTAAAAATATATAATAAATACATTTTTGTTTATGAAGTTTTAGAAACTCTTTTGATCCGCAAACATACAACCTTCAAAAAATATCTCGATTTTTTCGGATTTAAACAGAATCAGCGTTATTTAACGCTGTAATATATCTGTAACAATATAACAAAAAATTAATTGAAAATACAAAATTCTAATAATTTCAATGCTAATAAGGGCACAAATAAATATACACTTAAATTTTAAATTAAAACGAACATTTTTCGAAAAGAGCCTTTACCAAAGCCATTAACAAACATAGATTTTAGCATCTTCTACTTCACTGTTAACATCATTAAAAACATTAACCTAAAAACCCAATAAAAAGGATATTTAAAAATATCTGTTAATCATTTGTTATCATTATCTTAATAATAACTAACTTTCATTCGAAAAAAAATTGACTAACGTAAAGTTCTTTGTAGTAATTAAGTATAATTTTTTATTCGAGTGAGTACGAATATGCAAAGATTACAATTACAACCATGAATTATTTATAAACAAGTTATTATTTAAGTGTATTTTAATATAATTCAATATATTTTATTGTCCTCGAAAAGTGATAAAATAATCTTATTGACCACTTAAGTATGAGTTAATAGTCATTGTTTTTCTACAAACATAAACATTAACATGTTAGAATAAACATTATAATATCCGTATATTAATTTATTTGTTATTAATATTTATGTATAATTATCGTGTTATTTAATTATTTAAATTGACCAGAATTAAACGTTGTGTTTCGGCCTGCCGCCAATCCTATTTACTGAAATGATGTGATATGTTAGCTTCTCCGGAATGACTTATCAACAGTTCCGGTTCAAAGCCCACCCTTGTCCAATAGATTTACTTCCGATCCCAATCGTTTCACCATTATCACCACTACCTTCCCCTCCAGTGAATGCAATGTCGTGTATAGGACTAGCGGGGACGGTTAATGTGTTATCAGTTATACGACGACGGTAAACGGGTTACTGTAACGACCCTTATAAGCCTTTGTGTGACTGATTGTTTTTGTAGGTATCCATTCAGTATAGCACAGTACATGCTAGACAAATCTACTATTCGAACAGTACGACAGCGATTGCGTCTACCATATTATTTATCAAAGCAATGCCCGCAGCTGTAATATATTCAGTAGTGTTCTAGGTTTGGACATTTATTTATCACCACAATAGTTTAAACAATATGTTGTGACAACCATATAGT